GAATCCTTATTCCGTAAGGCTTGATGTGCCGTGGAATCTACATAGCTCTACAAGATGGGGATTATTATTACCTCCATTTTACACAGAAGAAAACTGAGGCTCAGGGTGGTTTAAAAAAAAAAAATCGGTCAAGGACACACAGCTAGGTAGCAGAAAAACCAGAAATAAATGCAGAGATCTAGCTACAGTCCACACACAGGATCCCTCCGCCTCACCTGTTAGGTCTGGCCAATAACCAATCAGCTGCTTTCCCTTGCCATCTGTCTGTTTGACCAGGGACTTAGTAATCTCCTATCTGAGGGAGCACGCACCCACAAACCTGAATCTGAGTTCTGAAAGGATCCAATCAACTGGCTATTCTAGCATTTCCCAAACACCTCAGTCTCTAAACTTGTGTCTTTCAACTAAACAAGACATTCTACTTACAGCCCTCACTTGTTCTTTTCTATCACCTTACTGTATGTATATGCCTACAGACAATTCTAGTGACAAAGACCCCAAAACATCACCTGACATTTCCTCAAAACCACTCCACGAGGTTCCATTTGTGGTATTTTCTCTTCCTTTTCGCTCCCCCCCAACCTGATCTATGAACACTCAAGACTTCAGGGGAAGGAAACAAAGATGAAAACAGAAGCTTCAACTGTAATAAAACTCCAGATATAGACAGAGGTGAGAACATCTGTTCCATGACCCTTAACTGAAAGTTTCAAGATGAGGAAATTGGGCCATCCTTCAACTTGTATCACAGAAATCTCTCAAAGGCTGGGCTGTGAGCATCTCAGTTCCTCATTCCTGCAGAGCCCTCAGATGGAGCTGTGTGTAAGCAAGCAGCGTGTAGCATACCTGTCCCAGGCTGGAGATGGGTGGGCAGTGAACGGAGGGTGGGCAGTACCCTTGCAAGTCCTCAGAACCCTCAGAGCAGCTCCAGAGAGCCAACACCCAAGCTCCAGGATCCATGTGGATCCCAGTGTCAAGCTGCTTAAAGAGGGAGGGCTTCTTGGTGCCCCATCCCCACAGGACACCCTGGGGAACCCCAAGGTGCACAAGACCCATACTCCCACTCACAAAGAGTTAGTGGTTTGGGTACTGAGGGCATTCCTTTTCTCCACTGTGGCTTGCCCACAATGCAGCACTCCAGAGCAGGGGTAGGAAACTAAAGTTGTTTGCAATAAGCCCAAGCAGGCAGGGTGCAGGGAAATGACGTACCTTGTACCTCTGACATGCAAACACTGCAGAGAAAACAAGACTCTTCATTCCCTCAAGTGAATATGCACTTTCCCATTTTTCTTGGGACAAGAGCCTCTCGACCTATTTTTTTTTTAAAGATTTTATTTATTTATTAGAGAGAAAGCAAGCACACAAGCAGGGGGAGCAGGCAGAGGGAGAGGGAGAGGGAGAAGCAGACTCCCCGCTGAGCAGGGAGCCTGATGTGGGGCTTGATCCCAGCTGGGATCGTGACCTATGCCAAAGGCAGTGCTTAACTGATTGAGTCACCCAGGCGCCCCTCGACCTATTTTTGTTATCCCCTTTTGGACAGAGGCATCCACAAAAAGACTGCTCACTGTGGGAGAAACAGCATCGCCGATGTGTGGGGCCCCTGCCTCGAGATAGCAGACACTTCGGGGAGTAGCGGAGACCAGGGGAACTCGGGGCGCTACTCTGCGCCAGGGAGGAGGCTGCTCCGTACTGCCTTTGGGAATCCCTGGGCACAGAATATTTCAACCTTCCAATCTGCAATACTGGTTCAGTTTTAACTCTCTGCTGGCCTGATAAAACATCTGTTGGTTGAATATGGCCCATGCCCCCAGTTTGTAACCAAGGCAGTTGAGAGTGGTCAAAAGATGGCTTGCCTACGCTAACCAGGTGTGGAGCTCAGCTGTCTGCAGAAGGCAGTATTCTTAATCTCAGGAAACAAACTGAGGGCTGCTGGAGCGGTGGGGGGTGGGAGGGATGGGGTGGCTGGGTGATGGACATTGGGGAGGGTATGTGCTATGGTGAGTGCTGTGAATTGTGTAAGACTGATGAATCACAGACCTGTACCTCTGAAACAAATAATACATTATATGTTAAAAAAAAGAAGAAGAAGATAGCAGAAAGGGAAAAATGAAGGTGGGGAAATCGGAGGGGGAGATGAACCATGAGAGACTGTGGACTCTAAAAAACAAACTGAGGGTTCTAGAGGGGAGGGGGTTGAGGGGATGGGTTAGCCTGGTGATGGGTATTAAAGAGGGCACGTTCTACATGGAGCACTGGGTGTTATACGCAAACAATGAATCATGGAACACTACATCAAAAACTAATGATGTAACGTATGGTGATTAACATAAAAAAAAGGCAGCGTGGACAGCACAGAGGCTGGAGAATCATGTAAACACCAGAATTCAACAGATTTGAGTTTGAATCCTGGCTCTACTCTTACTAGATGCAAGGCCTCAAGTGATTAACCAACCCCTCTTAACTACAATTCCATCTGCAAAATGGCTGATGATACCCAACTCTGAGAGATTTGTGAGACTTAAAAAACGTGTGTGTGTGTGTGTGTGTGTGTGTGTGTGTGTATGTGAAGACTACCATGAACCCTTCATAAATGCCAAATTTCTTTCCCCCATATCTCTAAATAATTGGCTTGGCCAAGTCTTAGCTTCTTTAGATTTCACTGTCCTCATCTGTTAGAAACTGGAATCATTCTCCAGCACTGCTGTTCTAACCCCACAGGATGGCATGAAGTGGTGCAGATGAAAGCAGGGTGCCTACAAACTAGAGAAGTATGACTGACCTGATTGCCTTTACCTACACCTTTACCTCTCATTTCAAGACCAACAAAGCACTAATTTACTTCCCTAATGCGTTTCTACCCTTCCATAACAACACAATGCAGGCAGAAGATGGAATCACAGTTGTAGTCATTCCTTAAAACTGCTATTAGCAATCAACTCCTCAGGGCCGAATCCCCCCACCCTCACACAGAGGCCAGGAAACATTAGGTCACTGCCTGGTCACTTAAGGGCCCAGCAAGTTTGTTTTCTCTCTCCACGTTCTTGTTTCAGAGAACTGAGGTAGAAAATAAAGTCACTTAACCAGCTGCATCTTTCTTTTACCCACACAAAGAAAACTGAGCCACAGGCCAAACGGCTACACTTACATATCATCAAGAATTCACTATGACATTTTCCAATTGTAAGGGATTTTTGTCAGTTCTCATTTTCCCACACCCTGTGACAAAACTGGGACACGCTTTGGCATTTCCTCCACGGACTGACTTACGGCATCTTTACAACTTCTTTCCACTAGTGGAACCACACCAGCAAGGGCTAGGTTGATCTAGCACTTCAACTTTTAACGATCACGGTATCATTTACTTAGTTTTTCTCTTAAAAGCAAAGAGGGATTAAAATCAGTTCCACCGAAGCTACTAAGAAATGTAGGTTTATCTTTCAGGAGTATGCCTCTCCCCAACCCAAATTTTAACAGCCCCCTCACGCAATCACCACATTTCCAAATTACTAATCAAGCATGACAGAATGAGTAGGAATTGTATGATAAATCTAGAGCAAAAAATGAGCAAGTTGGATGACTATATAGATATTACTGCCCACGTCCCTCTCCTTCAAAGCAGGTTCTTAGAAAGCAAAAAGAACAGGGCAGAATGTTTTAGGAGTCAATTCTTTGCTAAATAGTTACACATGATGCCTGAGGCAAACAAGGTGAAAAGGGCAATACAAACAGATAAGATCTCTTTCAGGCAGTAAGTACATCTCCACTGACCCTGTGATTTGTTTTTATAATGTACACTTTTTATTGATGTATACCATGCTTCCATAAGTATACACACATCTTAAGTGGGTAAGTCGTGTGTTTACTACTCTGAGCTCTGTTTTTTTGATGAGCATAACTTGGAAAGTATTTGGGCAGTTCAGAAAAATTGCTAACACATTTTACGCAACCTGTCTGCTGGCACACAATTCAATCCCCAGCTTGCTAATACTCTTTGTATAAAAAGGGCTGACCCAGCATCCACCTGCATCAACTTGATCCCCTCAGCTCGGTCACACTCAGCAACACCCAATGCCTTCAGAGCAAAAAATATATATATATATAATAATAAAGCAGCTCCGCGGGAGGGAGAAAAAGACTTTTTAATGAGTCTGGAGAGGCAAACTTTACATCCGATTTACAAGAGTGAGGGTCTGCAGAAGGAAGGTCTGGAATTTAGAAACACCAGCAGTGCATTCCAAACCTACCTTCTGCAAAAATAAAGTTCCATTGGTGGTGATTGGTGGTGGTGTTACTTTTAAAGGAAAATGCCAAACATACCAAAGTAGAGACAATAGTGTAAGGAATTCCATACTCCACCCTTCATCCCGTTAGCGACAACTCACTGCCAATCTCCTTTGGAGCTCCCCCCTCACTCTTCCACTAGCAGTGCTCCCCCAAACTAAATTATTTTGCAGCAAATCCTCCACCTGTATTTCAACTTAAGTATGCATTTCTAAGAGATAAAATTAAAAAAAAACCCATAATCATAATGCCATCACCAAAGATTACAAAACCAATCTTAATACTATCAACTAGCCAGTAAAAATTTCTTTATCAGCTCAATTTTTTATGAACTTTTTCCCTTTAGGATCCAACCAACATTCGCACATTGCATTGCGTGTCAGATCTCTTCAACAGTGTTTAAACTGCAGGTTCTCCTTCCCAGTGATTCTCAGAGCGGCCAGGCTGATCTCTACTGGCAATTCCCAATAATTCAATACCGCGGATACCACAAAAAGATTTCAGTCTTAGAGGCTTGTCAAGAAGATCAGATACGTATATTAAGTAGCCGTTTCTATACTTAAAGAAGTTTTAAAAAAAATAATCAGAAAAGTAGAAGCGAAACGATTTGACCCGAGCAATTACTAGCAATTCTCAGAGCCAAACGCTCAATCATGTGTCCTTTGCAATTCTGATCCGTGTGGGTTTCTTTCTGCGGTTTGAGCACACCGCCGCCTTACCCGAGTCATTTGCACAAGGTGGGGCGAAGCGAGCGCGTTTCCTCCCAGCTGGACCTTCCTCCGCCGGCTGGGTCCTTGCGGTCGCCTCTGGAATTCCGGGGGTGGGCCCTGCCGCCAAGTCCCTCAGCTCACCTGCTCAGGTGAGAAAAGGGAGCTTCAGCTAACGAGTTCCAGAGGGCAGTCCCAGGTTATCGAGGGAGAATTTTGAGCCAGCCAGGACAGAGGAACCAACTAGGACGCCAAGGTCTCCGCGAACAAACAACCCCGCACAAACCTTGAGGCTTAATCCCAGCGCCGGGCGCGCGGGGGCACAGTCCCCAACGCCGAAGGGCGAGGAGAGGCGACGCAGAGTCCGCCCCAACGAACACACGTGCGTGTGTGTACGTGACTGATTACACCCACCCCTGGGTGCCAGAAGAATAAAAATTACATACATCATTTCTAAAACATCACCTATTTTATCATGTTTAAAAGCTATCTCCACTGGAAAGACAGGGTGCGAGTATCTGGCCAACCCAGGCCACCGGGTTTCATCCCCGGGCCCCCGGACCCCAAACCTACGACAGACAGCCGGCGCGGAGGCTACGCGATAACCCCCAAGCCCAAGCGGTCAGGCTCCGGCGTCTGCAGCTTTCCGCCAAGCGCCCCTGCCCCACTCCACGATCTCTTAAGTGGTGGAGAAACCCCAGCCTCTGAATCCGTGAAAGAGAAATCCGTCTCCCTCCTCGACGCGCCCAGCGCCCACCGGAGAAGCCGCGAGCGGCGCGGGGGGAACGGACCACCCGAAGCCCGGGGCGGGCAAGCAGCGGCGAACCGCCGGCCCTCGCACTCACCCGACGCGTCGAGGCTCCCGGCTCGCGCTCCGCGTCCCCGGCGCTGGGCGCAAGACCGGACACCTGCTGCGCCCGGCCCCAGGTGACCGCCGGGAGAGGGGCGGGAGCCCCGCGCGCCCGCCCGGCTCCGCCCCGAGCGCTCCCAGGAGGAGGGCGGGGGCAACGAGCGCGGCCCCTGGGATCCTGGTGGGACCCCGCCGCCGCTAGGCCCGCTCCGACCAGGAAGTGCAGGCGTCCGAGCGGGGCAGTCTGTGAGCGCGCACGCCCCGTCGCGACCCGGGTGGGAAGCTGGCCGGAGGGACGCCGCCTGTTGGCGGGGGGGGCGAAAGGCGATGGGGAGAGCCGGGGCCTCCCGCGGCTCAGTGAGACCCCCTTCCGCGTACCAGGCCTGGAGGCCCCAACCCCAACTCAGGGAGCTCCTATATCTGTAGGGTGGGCAGGGGGCCATTGGCAGTTGTCTCCAGATGAAGGTACACACAGGGTGACAGAGCTTGAAACATGCATGCCACCAAGCAACTGCCTGTACTGCTCTATGAATTCACCTTTTTATATAAAAATCTGCAAATAGCACATTTGCAAATAGCACAATTGTATTGCATTGTCTTTTTTTTCGTCAACAACGGTGCTAAAATGTTATATTTATTCAGTATTTGTTGAACACCTACAATTTGCCAGTCGTTTAAACACTTAAAATGTGGCACAATGTCCTCTTTTTCATGTAGAGCCCTGAACGAGGGGAGTGGCCTGAGCCTCTCTCAACCTCTCAGAGAGCCTGGACTGGCTTTACAAGGAATCTAGTAAATGCCCGCCAGAGGGTGCAATAAGAACAGAGCAGTGGTAGAAGTAAGTGCGCGCTGCCAAGGGAACCGAGGATCTCCCCAAAGAAGAGTTCCTGAAGAAGGGGAGAGGTGAGCTGTCATGAAGGACTACAGGATTCACCGGCATGTGAAGTGTTCCAGCCGGGATTCCACCGTGAGCAAAGCCAGAAGCAGAAAGCTAGGCAGGGCGTGCATATTCTGATAGAGGAATGGTATGTGAGTCACTATAGCTGAGAAGGAGAGGATGTGAGCTGAGTTAGAGCCGGGGCCGTGGGGGGCCAGATGATGCTCCTGTAAAAAATAACAGCCGCCATCTATGGAGTGTATATAAAACAGGAGCTGGACATGCGTCACTTGAAACTAAGCTCACACCCGCCCTACAAGGTAGGGTTATTACTCCCCCAAGAACGAAATGAAGACTTACTAGTGACAGAGTTGTGAAGAGGTGACTCTGAGGGGCTAGCCTCACTCTTACTGACACTTTCCAGGCCAATCCAGCAGGCTGAATTTGTCTTCAGATGCTCCCAGCATCCCCAGATATCCCTGGAGTGCCTACTGCTTTCCCTCCATTCCCAAAGCCTGTGTCAGCAACTGCCCTCAGACTCTGCCTGTCTGGAAAAGATTCCAGAGCTGGTGCTGTGCACATCAGACGCCTTCCCAAGAGGAAACCCTGTCTCAGGGGCCTGTGGAGGGACTGAGGCAGAGCTCTTGGTTGTTCCCCAACGTCTCTTCTCTCCTTCCATTATAACAGAACTGAAGCTGGAGCCTGGGACCGCTTAGAACAAAGACTACATTTCCTTGCCTCTCTTGCAACAAAATTCATCAACAGTGGGGCCCAGAGTCCCTAGAATGCAGTGATCCTGTAGCACTTCTGAAGTAACTATTCCTCCCCCAACATCTTTGATCTGCCAAATATTCTTCATGGGGCAGACATTGCTCACTGCCTTCCTCATCTCCATGTCCCCTTTCTAAGAGAACCCAGATTTTGTTCAGAAAGGCGTTAGGTGGAGCCGGGGGTTGGGGGGGGGGGGGGGTGGCGGGATGCTCACCTTCCCAGAGGTCTTTGCGGGACAGTCAAGATGACTTGATTCTGGCCACTGAGATGTAGGAGGAATCTAGCACATCCTGAGATTTTACTTTCCTAATACAGTTGCCACTGCATTTCTCCTTCTGTTTCCCTCCTGCTGTGAGGTGCTTGTAAAGTTGGAGGAGGAGCAGCTGTTTTAAGACCACAGGGCAACACACCAGGGGGTTCGTCACAAGCAATTGAATACAATCCTAATGGATACGCTGTTCTTTCCCAAGAACAAGCCTCAAAAATCAATCCTGATTAATACCCTCCCTGTTACAGAGTAGTAATAGCAGAAAGAGGATGGGTTTTGGCATGAGATAATCCAAGGATGAGTTTCAGCGCTTCCTTTTTTTTTTTAGCTGACTTTGGACAAATTTGTGAAATTAGATTATGTATTGTAAAATCAGAAGTTGTCATAAAAAACACAAGGCGCAGTGCCTGGCATACAGTGAGTGATTAATAAATGATCACTGAGATATTGAGATAATTCTTATCTAATGGCTTTTAGCCTTCACCAGATGGATGCCTGGCCTCATGTAGATTCAGAATCACATATCCACTTGCCAGTTTCGTCCCTTAGACAAATCTTTTTGCCTAGTCAGATCTTAGATGCTTTGTAACAGCAAAGCCAATCTTTAAGTAAAAACCATCACTTGTCTAGTATCTTGTTTCCTCAATTTCTAGACTATATCTGCTGTACCAAAAATTGTTTTTAAAAAAAGAACAGAGAGGCACATGGCTGGCTCAGTCCATAGAGCCTGCCACTTTTGATCTCCTGGTTATGAGTTTGAGCCCCATGTTGGGCCTACAGTTTACTTAAAAAATAATAATAATAAAAAAATAATAGATGTGCTTTGTAGTGACTAGTCATGAATTACGGTACCCTAGTTTGACAAATGCAGGTGCATATTGTTTGACTCTTTTAAAATAAACTCTAATTTCAATGCTTCTAGGTTTGCATTTTTAATTACCAAACAAAATGATTTCATGGTCCAAAAACATGCTTTTGTTGAAACTGCATCATATCCCTCTTTGCTGAAATTGAATAGCATTAAAATGAGTATTATTCGGGGCACCTGGGTGGCTCAGTCGTAAAGCCTTCGGCTCGGGTCATGATCCTAGGGTCCTGGGCTCCCTGTTTGACGGGAAGCCTGCTTCTCCCTCTCCCACTCCCCCTGCTTGTGTTCCCTCTCTCGCTGTGTCTCTCTCTGTCAAATAAATAAATAAAATCTTTTTAAAAAATGAGTATTATTCGCTTAGATTTTTAATTAAAAAAATACATGCTTTCAACTACTGCAGGTTTTTTAAATTTAAAAATTTTAGGTAGTTAACATACAGTGCAATATTGTTTTCTAGAGTAGAATTCGGTGATTCATCACTTACATACAACACCCAGTGCTCATCATAAAAAGTGCCCTCCTTAATTATTTTTTATTTTTTACTTTTATTTTCATTTTTTGGGGAGAGGGGCAGAGAGGGAGGGAGAAAGAATCTTAAGCAGACTCCACGCCCAACGCGGAGCCCGTTTCAGGGCTCAGTCTCACAACCCTGAGATCATGACCTGAGCCGAAGGAAATCAAGAATCGGATGCTTAACTGACTGAGCCACCCAGGCACCCCTATAATTTTTAAGTTAAAAAATTACCATAAATTAACCTGGTTAATTATTTAACTTGCCTTCTATTACTCAACATTTAGGTTATTTTTAGTTTTTCACAATTACAAACAACATTGCCTTGAACATCTTTGTCCCTACACTTTGGCCCATTCCTGTAAGCTGACCACATCTCCCCACTCCAGTGCTACCTTCCCATCCTGCCAACTCCAAGCCACTATCCATTTGTTGATTGGATTGTTTGAATAGCCTCCTGAATGGCTCCCCGTCCTGCCCTCTTTCAATCCAGCAGCTGGAATAGTCATGTTAAAATGTCAGGTCATATATTATCCCTCTCTGCTCAAAACTTCCCAGTGGCTTCCTTCTCAAATTCAGAGAAAACCAAAATCCCTACAATGGCCTATAAAGCTATACTGTCTGCCCCCAATGCCATTACCTCTCTGAACCATATCCCAATCTGTTCCAGCCACACTAGCTTCCAAGTGGCCTATTTTTTTATGTGCCATGTACACTTCTGTCTCAGGGCCTTTGCACTTGCCATCTCCTCTTTTCGTAACTCTTTTCTTCCAAATACCATAAGACTTAATCTTTTACCTCTTTCAAGTCTTTACTCACATGAACATCTTCCCTGGCCACAAATTACTAAGTGCCTAACACCTCCTGGTTCCCCTTCTTGCATTCTCCTTTCCCTTTAGCACTTTTCACCTTCTAACATACTGTATCTTTGAAATGTTTACCTTCTTTACTGTCTGTTTTCTCTCCACCATTCCACCTCAGGATATGAGTTCCAAAAAGGTAAGGATTTTTCTCTTTTCTTTTGAGAATAGGAATTTGTTTATTGCAGTATCTCCAGTTGAGTGAATGAAAGTGTGTTTAAATATGTAAGAGAAGTTCCTAGAATAGAAATACAATTTCTGGGTCACGGGGATTTATGTTTAAAATTTTCATCAACACTTCCAAATTGCCCTTTCAAAAGGTTGGAACAACATTCCTACCAACTGAGCACTATTTTCCCCTCACACTTACCACTTTGACCACATACCTATCCTTCTTAAATGTTATTTGAAGGGCTTATCAGACAGAGTGTCAATAACAAACAACAGAATCCACTCTAGCTAATTTAAGCAGAAAAATAAATTTTTTAAAGGGGAGCTCACAGAATCTCAGGACAGACCAGAGGGCCGAATGCACCTCTGCAGACAGGAATAATGCCAAATTGTACCTTGGTGACTGCACCCATGAACACCCCGCTGCTGGTGCCTCTGAGCCCAGATGCCCAGCTTGCCCTCCTGGACCACCTGATTGATTGTTTACACTGATGATGTCAACCCTGCAACTCATTGTAATAATTCTTGCTATTGATTACCTTAGTTTGATATTTAAAGATTCACTGCTTAACAACGATCCATTAAGGAGGCAGTGTCTTTCCCATTCTTAAATTCTTTATCTTAGACTGACTTTTGATTGTCTCAATTTTGCAAGTAACTTTCCCGAGAAGGGTTGGTGGGTCCCTTATATCTACCATCTCAACTCATTGTCTTTCCTTTACCTCAGGCTTCTCTATTTTCTCAAGCCCATCTTCCAAGTCATTGATTCTTTTTTTCAGACATACCTATACTTCTTACCATTTCTGTTGTGGTTTTTATTTCCAAAATGCTTTCAATGTTACGTTTCATTTCTTTCCTGGTTGATGCCATTTTACTTCATCTTCCTCTCTGATCTCTTA